GATTTTGTACTCTTTCGATATCCTCCTTTAGGTAATATGGTAAACCAGCCCAGATTGGTGCCGCGTATTCCAGTATAGGTCTTATCTTTGTGCAATAGGTTGTTAGCCCTCTATTGCTTGGGAGATTTGCTTTCCTACAGTCCCTCACGAAATATGCAGATTCAATTAGGAACCAATTTATCGTATCTCCCCAATTCGCTTTTCCGGCGAGTGTCTCTTTTCTGAACTACTTTTTGGGTTTGGGCAGGTCTTACTTTTGGGTATAAGGTAAGTAACAACATTATGATCAGAAAGTCCGAAAGGAGGGTGAATTGACAGGGAGTCAATTAATTAAATTAAATCTAATAGAGTTTGGTCCTTTCTTGTGGGAAGGTGAACTTTTCATTTTGAATACTTTATGTCAAGACGGTTAAAGTCACCAGCTAGCTGTAGCCGGCAATTTGGATATTGACCTTCAATTTCTGTGAGAGATTTGAGTAGATACTCCCACATGGATTCGGCATCGGCACTCGGAGGATGATATACCGTGCCAATGATAATGCTTGAAAAACCCCGTGGGATGTTATGCGGACCTAAAGAACTTCAAAATCGGGATCATGTAGGTCTTCCAGCACATTAAACTCAATAGAGTTGTTGATATAGAGACAAACCCCTCCGTGTGCTTCAGATGAACGATTTTTGTATCTGCGCGTAGTGCTAGATACCATGCTATCGAGTTGTGGGTGGGTGCGTGCGTTAAACTCTCAGGTCGACTAATTAGGGCTGTACGCCTGCGAACAGGCCGTAAAACAAAGATGGCGGCTTTCTACAAGTGTGACGAGAAATTGTTTGTTTGACTTTCGCTGACTGCTAAATTGTCCGATAAAAAACTTTTTGTTATATCCTAGCCCAAAGTAACATCGCAAAGCTTTTTCGTGAGTGACCGTGCATGCTTTTCTAATAATATCGATAGTTTATTCATATATTCATAATTATTTTATTTAATATATGGTACATTTATAGTCACATCATTTAGATTTTAGAATTATTATGTTACGTTAAATTTTTTTTATACAGGACGAAATATAGAGCATTAGTCACAGGACATCTCCTAATTATAGGATTGCCTCATAAGTTGAGTTAAAGTTAATAAAATTTATTTACAGATTGTGTGTATTTTTTCATTTTATAGAGCATACATGAATACATCATTATACATAATACATTAATAAATGCCGATTTTGTAACTCTTATTCTGTCTGTTTTTATTATAGAAATGGTGGCTTTCTGACAGTTGATTGTGGTAGAGAAGAGACTGCAATCTGAACATTCTTTATCATATCATCAAATATAAACAAAGTGACAATACAGCCGGGTATATAGTAAATTGTCGGCTATATAGTCACTATAGTTAAACATAAAAACTTTTGATTGCGCAAGCTTTTACCTAGCCTCCTCCGCAAGCCTCTCTATGGGTTCTAGCCTGCGAATGGGTTTGAAAGAAAAATTTTCTGGGAGAGAGGCCTGCCATAAATCGAACAAAATAGACGTATCTGAAATATTAGTGGCCGTGTTACGTTACCCCACCCCCTTAGTAGGCTTTTGACCCTAATTATATATTCAGTTTGAAATCTTCGGGCGAGGAGCGAAACTTGCAAGTATAAAAAACTTTAAAAATGTTTTATAATGCGTCGAAATATTCAAGTTATACGAAAATTAATTGGTCAATTGAAAGCATTATATCCTGAATTATATATCGCAATGTTCCTCGCGGTATAAAAACGATGTGCAAATTTTGAATCGCTCGCTCAAAGCAGCCAAATGTTTACAATATTAATTATTAAATGCATAAATTGTTCAGCCGAGGAATTACAATTTCTGAATTTGAGGAAATTATCTGGCATAATTTCGAACGCAAAACGAAGAATGGAACGATAAGAAAGGTATAATTTGTTTAATAAAGGGATTATATTAAATTGTATTGTTTTCTGGAATAATATTTTGTGTTGCCATTCTGATTTATATTTTACTATACTTTTTCAATAGTCAAATCATCAGGCATTTGGCAACATGCTCAGTGAAATGACGTATAAAAGGAAAAGATCTTTCTGTTGAAGCAACCATTTCAATAAGTGACTGCAACTTGGAAATATAAACTAACTGTAGAATTTTGTTGGCACCTTATAAAGCCTGCATTACATATGCCTACCATATTATTATTTAATATGCCTGAGATTGATGCATACATTCTTTTGTGAATTATTTGGTTTAACTGGTAACCTGCCAGCATATGACAGTATTTGTGAACTAGGCTTCACTCAGGTGAATAGTTAAATATTTGAACTCCCCTCACCCCTTTAATGGCTTTAATATCATGTAAATATGCTAAACCTGGTGAAACAGGGTTGGTAGGTTTGCTGAATAATTAGGCCAAACACAGTCACACTAGGCCTTTTGTTTTCTTAACTAAAATGAAACACTAATGACGATTTGGCCTAATTATTCATCTAACCTACCAACCCTGTGGTGAAAAGCAGTTGGCATGTGACAACCTCTTTCTAACATAGTACTGTGTATGCCTACTTGTGTTACACTTACTGACATCCATGATTTGATAAATACAGGAATTTGTGTGTCTGCATATAGTGCCGTAGCAAGCTTGATAATTGGGGGGGGGCTCATATTCATATACTCGTGTTCTGCGTTATTAATATCTTTTGAAATCGATTGTTTTTATGGTCTGTGAACACGAATATATGAATATGAGCCCCCCCCAATTATCGAGCTTGCTATGGCACTGGCATATTCTCTAATTATATGTATCTTCCTTGTTCATGCTCAAATAAAATTGCTCTTGACATATATTGCTTTAAAATATAGTAACTCTTGATTGGCATGTATATCACGTAAGACCCAATAATGCCCCTGTACACACAACAAGCCCTCTTTGTCTCATCCCTGGCAGGGGCGTGCCTGCTTTTACTCTGTCTAACATCAGACAATTTTACTCTTCAGTGGGAGAGTGCAGAGTTAATCTAAAGCTTACCAAATGTATTCATTGTTGTAAACTTGTCACAGCTTACAGTTAATATATAGCCACCATTGGAAGGCTATTACAAGGGTGGTTGCTGTGTAATATAACAATAGCAAAACACTAGCTATCACTGGGATGTTTCCTCAGTGACTGATTGTTACAGGGAAATTTGCCTTGCAAAATGGTTTTATCCATGCAAATATTTTGCCTGTGAACTTGGCAAGCAAAATAGAATGCAATGCCTCCACTGGTTAACAAATCCAAGCCAAATGTTATTAAGACAGGTCTTTATATTGTTGCACCACATAAACCGTCACTTGAAAATCTATTAGATTCCTATTAAATTCCAGTTGTCCTTTCCCTTATGTCTAGGCAACTCACACCCATATATTAAAAGTTAAACAGGGCTATTGATTAATTAAGAAAGCGTTTGCTATTTAATAAATTTTTGCCACATCTGAGACACTCAAGTTTGAAAACTTTGTCTTTGTCCAAGGCCAAATTGAACAGTGTATTCCGCAATAAGAAAACTTTTATTAACGATTTTCCTTCCATACAAGCGTATTAAAACAATGTTACAAGACAAGAAGTATAAATAGTATATTACCACAGTCGCAGATATGTCAACAGTTGAATATATATTGACAATTTTCGCTCGTTCCTTTTCGTGTTATAGTTTCGACTAAATCACTGCACTCTCCGCTTATTATCATATAAAATGTAGTCGACAATTTGAGTAGAAATATGTATATATCAACGATAAACTTTCACTTAAAACCCTGTCTTGACATGAATCGACGGCAACGTAAATATTTGACTGCTCTGGAAAATCACTCGTCTCTAAATAATCCCATTAAATTGCCGTTTCGGGTGACGATAACGTTATCAGCTCCTTATTCAAAGTTCCCTGTGTATATACAATGTTAAAAAGCAGGATTATTCGTTAATTTTACAGTTTTACTCGTCTTTTAAGCCACCGTGTTGAAAACAAAAATTTCTTCACTCCTTGCCGCAAGCCCTTCCTACTCCCCCTAAGTTTGAGTTTGTCGAAATTTGCATGCGCGAGCCGGTATGCGCAGTGCAAATTTTTGTGTCGATTTATGGCAGGCATCTAACCAAACTTTTTCCCACCACCCGATTCGTCGGGTGAGATGCCTGCGGAGGAGGCTAGCTTTTACCGAGTTTGCCGTTAGCGCATACGGTAAAAGCGTTGCATGCGGAAAGTGAAACACAGTCCGGATCGGGTTGTGTTTTGTCTGACTTAGCATATTTTCTTCTTAAATAATTTTTTAAACTTTTTTCCCACCTTTTCTAACTTTCAAAAGGTCACGGTTAGCAGTTATTCCCTTGGACTTGATAAGATATTTATGTTGCTAAATTTATTTAGATATTTATGTCGCTAAATCTGATTGGCTAACGTAAGACAAAGGGAATGGAACGTTGTGCTCGGGTGAGCAACTGCTTCTGGGGAGAAACCTCGACACAAAGAGCTGTTGCGAAGGAAACTACTATATAGCCAGCATTTTACTTCATAGCCGGCTGTATAGCCAGCAGTTTACTAAATAGCCGGTAGTCACTTCAAAAATATATAAATGTTTACTCAATAATTATGCATGGAATTTTTCTCATAGCATCGATGCAATTCCTTTGCGCAGATATATGTACGCCTAGCGTACCTATTTTTACATATTAGATTATAACTTGGTATCTGAAGGTAATTAATATTAATTAAATCAGTGAGCCACGTTTCAGTAATAAAAACGAGATCAGTGTTGTTGTCCTCGACAAAAGGGATCACTTCATCAATTTTCGGGACAATGGGTATGTTGCTGGTTGCCAGTCCGCGCGCGGTTTTTCGCATTTTTGCAATGCATTGTGGTATCGGTGAGGGGCAAACAATGTATTAGCTTTACAACGAAAGTATGGCAAAAGGTATCATTGTGCAGTTTATGGCTGTTCAAACGATCGCAGATACCCGGAAAAACAAATGATCAAACCACATGTTGGTATTCTTAGATTTTACTCACCAAAAACTCAGAAAGATATCGTAAAATGGAGAAAATTGCTCAATCGTAAGCCCTTCAAAGTCACGTCAAATACGAAGGTTTGTTCGAACCACTTTCAAGCAGGTTACCGATCCGAGGAATGCCCCAATCCAACGCTTTATCTAAAAGGTTATTGTCCTGATAAACAGAAGAAAACCCGTCCATCCCCGAAAAAAAGGGAAAGTTTGGCTCCTAAACCTAAAAGACAACGTCGAAGTAACATTTGCTTGGCAGATTCCTATTCAGACTATTCAGAATTTGATGTATCGCATGATAAATCACAGTCAGTATCATCCCTATCTAAAGAAATTTATTGCAGTCATATCCATAATAACGTGAAGAAAGAACCAGAAGACGATTTTAGCGAGTCGAGCAGTAGTTTTTCATCACTGTTTTTTAATGGTTCAGATGAAATATCAAATGATTATGACACATCAGTTGAAATAGATGTATCTGAAGAGAATGGAAAGAAATCTCGAAGAGAACTGTTCGTCAAACAGGCTACATCTAATAGGAACTGTTTTAGATACACAGGGGTCACTAGAGAAAATCTGGACTTAGTGTTTGATTTGATAAAGGGAAAGGCAAAGTCTTTACGCTATTGGAAAGGATCTGTTGATACACCAGGTTCAAGAAGGGAAAAGAGACGGGCCCAAACCAGACTCTTGTCATGCTGGGAGGAGTTTGTTCTTACATTAGTAAGAACACGAAAGGGTTTTGATGTTCACTTTCTTGCTGACACTTATTTCTCCAGCCTATTGCAGAGGACCTCGGCTTTCCTCCATTTTAAGGCTGAAACATTTCCGAATTTTGTCTGGAGTAATCCCATTACTGCTAAAGATGATGTTGGATCGTATTATCCTGGTTCGTGCAGCATTATCCAACCTTCAAAAGCAGCTAATCAAGTGAACTACAGAATTATAACAGTAACAATGTTGAATTCACTTGAAGTAATTTATGGGATATTTCATATAATTTGAATAATATTTAAAGCAAAACTGGCTGTGTTTATACAATATTTAACTCTATTTTATGGCAGAGACTTTAAATGTTAATCAAGTAATATTAATTATTACCATATAACCACTCTTTGAAGTCTTTGATAGTTTGTTTGTCACAAACAGATCAGCTTAGTGCTATTATGCTATTGCTATTTTTTATTTATAACCACACACATTTCAGGAAAATGAAAAAATATTTACATTAGCAATCAAATATAACTTTCAATTTACATGCTATTTGGTAAATCTAGATCATTGCTCCCTTGAATTTGCAATAAAAGAGCTGAAATTATTTTTTTAGTGTAAAACAATTTAACAGTACTGATTGTACTTTTCCAAAATTCCTCATCAAATTCTACTTTTGCTATATAGATTCCCATGTTGGTAAAAACAACAAAGTCACACTGCTTCAGGCCACACACTGCCATTCCAGTCTGCACTTGGAAGTAGTGAATGCGGTTCTTGCGAATATATGGAAAACCGGCTTCATTAATTGCCCCACCAACAGTATCCAACAAAAATGCAGATTTAGGATCCATGTCTCTACCTGTGTAAGGACACTTAAATTCAACAAGTGTATCTTCACAAAAATGGCACTCTCTTATTCCATCTGGACTTGCTCCTACCCATCCATGATCAGGGCTTAGAACCAAGCCAGTTTCACTGAATCCAAACTTAATGTGTTGTTTTTTCATAATCCTAAAATAGGATGTTTTTGCTTCATCCTCCATCTCTGTGCCATACTTAATAGCCACTGGACATTTTTTATTTTCAAATGGTCTTGAAGGAGTTAAAAATTTTTTAACAGTTTTACTCACATCTCCATTAGGATTTTTTTCTACTGTCTTTTGTCTTGTAAAAAGTCCTTTCATTTTTTTGCCAGTAACCAACAAGTGCCGAAATTCATGCCAGCATTGAGTGGTGTGTTGGCCAGTTGTAATATTGTTGATAACATCTCTTTAAGATGCTGTAGTGGACAGTTGGTCAACAAATTCTAAAGATTGTTGCATGATATTTTCATTACTAAGAAAGTTATTTTTCACAAATAATGAGGCCCTTGATAAGATTGATAGGCCGTTTCGGCCCATGTACCATCCTTACGACTATGTTTAAGATGTTCCTCTACTGTTGTATGAGTAAAAAGCAAAGGAATAAAAACTTGGGGGAAGTCTTCTATCACGGCGTTGCAAAGCGATCTCACTTTCGAATAATTTCGATCCGTTTTACCGTTTAAAGCTCGTGCTACAGCTCTGTAGGAGCAGTGGCCATCACCTTGAACTCTAACTTCTCTTCTACCAATAGGAATTAAAGCCATATCATAAATATTTAAACACTTTTTTTAAAAACAAAGAAATATGCATATATTTATAGTTCTTTTTCAAATTGTTTGCCCCCCAGCGATACCACAATGCATTGCAAAAATGCGAAAAACCGCCCGCGGACTGGCAATCAGCAACATACCCATTGTCATAGTATTGGTTAGTGTAATGCTTGGAACAAACTCCTGATGAATTAGCAATAATATTAATTACATTGTATTTTATTGCGTGACCGGGTAGAAAAGGAAGTAGGACAGTTTGGGTTAGGATGGCGCGAAGTTATTATGACTGGTATTCTCATTATCTTATCATGCGGTACACCACATCGAAATGGATCGACCACTCTAGTGAGCGATGACGATGAGATGTTCATATGATGGTGATTTGATGTTTAATTTATCCAGGGGAATTGCGTATGTAATTGTGCCTTGGTGAAGTTAAAGGCTTTGCATTTGTCTGACAACCTTTATAATACTCGGCGTCATGGTTTTTGAAAACATTACTACTTCCACTATTAGTGTTGCAGACCGAAGTTTGGTTAGCCTGGTTTGCATGTGTTTCAATCAACGGCGGGCGACCTAACCATTCGATATTGTTCTGTTGGGAAACTGCTAAAACGAAAGATTTGCCGGCATTTGGTTCTATATTGTTGTTATCATTGGTTGCTTGAGTGATTTGGGTAGCCACTCGTTCTTTGGTAGTTGAAATTGAGCGCTGTACTGCTTCAATAGATTCCTTTGGATGATTATTTATATCAGACATTGGAGGGTCAAGGTCAGAGTCCACAGTTGGTTGATTAACATTGCCTTGGCTATTATTAGTTTCAGGTAAAAAGAAAATAGAAATAACACAGACATCAACATTTACAGTTGGGAGAGCATTTTATTTAACCATTTGACTACAGGGTGTCCCATAAAACCCCGAAAACTATTGAAATAAATGTATTGTTAGAATTTGAATACCTCAGCACTCCGCTGAACCCACACGTGCATCAAAGCTTGACGTAAGTAAATTTTATGCATAAAAAAATCGTTTAGGAAGCTGTTTTAAATTCCCAAGAGCAGAAAATCGTGCGCTTTACAAAGATATTTTAATTTCTTAATAAGTCAATATTTAATATATGCACCCTTGTCAATATTTTACGCATCTTTGCGTTCAGCTTAGTGCTAGGGCATTCAAATTTTAACAATACGTTATTTCAATGGTTTTTCGGGTTTTTTGGGACACCCTGTATACAGACTCATACTACTATTGTTCGCATTTGATGTACTGGTTGATAGCAATTTCACTTCTAAAGCTGAGATACACGATTTTAAATGCAAATTTTCACAGTTTAATTTGCATAGTTCTTTTTTATTTGAATTAATGATGTTATTCTGCTCAGAGAGTTTATAAGATAAACTTTGCAGCTGTGCCTCAACATTTTTCTTAAATGTGAAAAATTGCGATTCAAGTTTTGCTAGATTTTCATCAGGACGTTGTTTAACTGGAGTAGACATATCCGTCGGTTGGGCAAAATCAGACAGCCCAAAAGCATTGCAAAATGATTTGTCAATAAAGTCCTCAAGCTCCTTTATAGTAGAAGCATTAGAGCTTGACAGTATATCATCGACTTTGGGATATATTAAGTAAAGCATCTGTCTGAGATATATTACTTAAGTCATCGATATTAAACAAATTGGTTAAATTCTCGGCGTTAGGTGTAATAGTTCTTTCAAGGTTGGTTAAATTCTCGGCGTTAGGTGTAATAGTTCTTACCTTGGGCGAATGAAATAGCAAGACATAGTAGACAGGGAATGATAGAGCTGATTCGAAAAATCTTTTTGGTTATCTAGAAAGAATTCAGAAATTCAATAAATAATAGTATTTTATTCAATGTCGATTACACTGGCAATTCACCCAAGTTGATGATACAAGTGCTGGACAACTTGAGTCTTGGGGCATGCAAAGAAAATCCCTCGAAACACAGAAGGAACAAAACTGAACTAAAACTACCGTGAGTGCGAGAGGTTTTAGACGATTTTTCACTGAAAATCAAACTGGCATGTAAACGTAAAAAATATCAGCACGGACTGGCAAAAACAGTTTAAAATCGGTTTAAACGGTTAAAGCAACCCTGTTGCTTCAAATCCCACCAAAAAGGATACATACGACAATACCAGTACATGAAAGTTATATAATATAGAAATAATATTTAATTTCACTGGCCTAAATTTTTAAAATTCAAGAATACATGACAAATAACAATAATTACATAGACTACATATATAACATTACAAATGTGACAGGAAATCACAACAGCTTCAGGCCAATTACTGTGGTATAGGTTTGGTTAGGTCCCGGGGCCTGGTTACATATCATTTCAGGCAAATTATTTTCCACGACCGAGGATCAGTCACATTATAATTCCTCTCTAATGCGGTATAATAATAATATTTGATTAAGAGATTTTTAAGGCCTTAAGGGTTATTCAGATTTATCGGCTATTGGTCCTGGTAATATGTTTCATATTCTTGTTGTTCTTATCGTATAAGTTTGTTGCTAGGTAGAGGTTTTACATTTCCTAACTTGGAAGTTTATGGAGTTCGGATCCACTGATCTTATAATTCGTGAGTTTTCATTATGTTTGGGAACAACTGCATCCGAGAGGCACATGATACCGCAATTTGCCTTGTAGAAAAATAACATGTCTACATATTCATGCCAATAACTTAGAGGTAGAAATATCAAGTCAATAAGCCTTTGGGTGTAGCTGCTTTCACAAAGGAAGGGTAGATCTAAAATGTATTTGGAAGCACGTCTTTGTACGCGTTCTAAGCGAGCGATGAGTTCGATGGTTTGCGGAGACCAAACTTGTGTAGCGTACCCCATTTGCGATCGAACAAGTGTTATATATAGCGTCCGACGGGCTTTACAGTTCTTGATTGTTCTTGTTGATCTTTTCAGGAAACCCAACATTTTATTTGCTTTTGAGCATTGTTCCAATACCTGTTTCAGCCAGGTCAAATTGTTTGATATCCATACGCCGAGATCACGCTCATTTTCAACGTTTTCTAACATGTTATCTTGTAAAGTGTATGGATACTTGATCTGGCCAGGGCGACCGAGAGGGGGGGGGGCCCAAGGGGGCAAATTGCCCCGTGCCGCAAGGTGCTGGTGCCCCATGAAAATTTTTTGTTGGGCCCCAGTCTTTTTGTGTGTTAAATATTTCCGCGCAAAGAACAAATGGCATGAGAAATTAAGATAAAGTCCCTGGAAAGTAATTGCAACGTATACTCGTCCGGAAATTTTTTTGTACCTACAAAGTTGTCGACGGGGGGGGGGGAGGTTGTTCTCCGAAAAAAATGTATCCAGAAATTTTTTTTTAAATAGGGGCCCCTAAAAAAATTTTGCCCCGGGCACCCGCCAACCTCTCGGCGGCCTTGGATCTGCCGATGTTTTCTGGTGCCCCGCAGAGTTTTACCTTTGGAAGTGTTTAAGTGAAGACCCATCCCTTGTAGAATCCGACATATTTATAACCTATTTTATACCTATTTTTTCTCTATTTAACCCTATTTTTCCGTATTTTTTCAAAAATATGACTATTTTATTACTATTTATCAAATTTCGTAAAATAGTATATGACTATTTACACTCTATTTAAAATATAGGTTATTTATATTTTTCAAAAAAATAGCTTTGAAATAGGTATTCAAATCCTATTTGAAAGAGTAATTGACGGAATCTCACTATAAAATAGCTTTAAATAGCTATTTAATTCCTATTGATGACAAACGAGTCAGTTTTGCTTATCTTCTTTGGAGCCATTCGTACAATAGTTATTAAATAGCAAAATAAATAGATCTTAAATAGCTATTTAATTCCTATTCGTAGAAAGTTGCGGCGAACTTTGTTCAAAATGGCTATTAAGTAGCTATTTACTATGTTTACTTTTATTTTTAGAGCTATTGTTAAAATAGCTAATAAATAGCAAAATAATTATATCTTAAAAAGCTATTTATTTCCTATTCATAGAAAGTTGTGAGAATTGTGAAAGGGTAAATATATTTATTTAACTGGCCAAAATTTCCCAGTTTGAGTTAATTTTAAATTTCTTGACAAAACACTATTTTTGACAAAACACCAATACCACCAAAAATTCTCACGATGAGCGCGGTTTGACAGACTGGTGCCTAATTTTCCTACAACACGCGCGAAGCTTTCTGGGATAGTTTAAAAATTTTTTTAGTTTAAACTTTCCGCTAGAAATACTTTTAATTGAGCGAAAATGATATTTATTTTAAAGATTAAACATCAGGGATGACTGGATAACATCCAGGTAAGAATTTTGTTATGTTTTATATATAAATAGAGCAATTTTGAAAGGAAATATTTACTATCTTCATTCGTGAATTTTGAGCACATGTTCCGGCTTAAAATTTCAATTTGCTGCGACAATATTTGAATTAAAACAACATTAGTTTTATAGCAAGGCTTACATTTGACTTATACTTTGATCTTTGTGTATAGTGTATTTGCCAGATTGCCAGATTCCAGTGTTTCTTGTATAAAATAATATAGCTTGGCATCTACTCAATTCTCATATGCCTACCCAGGCATGTCCCAGCTAAACATGGTTTGAGAAAATTTATCGACTGGTTTCAAATTAACTGGTAATTTCATAAGTTTCCAATATTTATTCATATATAGGTGGGTCAGTTTAGAATAGATAAAAATATCAATTTGATGTGTTGTTGTCATGTGCGGCAACTTGATTATAGACGTGTCCCTAACTGGAAACAGTTAAAGTCCTTTGTTTGCTTGTTCAAACTTATGAATACATTTAGTTACCCCACATGTCTTCATGATCTGCTTAATAATATATGTAACAACCTTTGGGCTTCATTTTATATATTTTAGAGACACCTCGGCAAGTGTTTGATTGTTTTTGGAATTATCCATTTCACTCCAATGAGCCCAATATTCAGCACTTTGTTATTAAATGTTATCTTGCCTA